AGAAAGGGGGGGGGGGGGGGGGGGGGGAGGGGGTCGCGATATAGTGCTACCCTTTGTCAGTGGGCCGAAAACGGCACTATATCGAACCAGGCACTGTTAGATAATGAGATTTACGGCTTTTTTGCAACCACTTCCTTGCATCACTGCTCTGAAAGACCGCTCGCAGGACGCCATCACTCATGCTTTGTATCTTCACTACAGACTCAAGTCTAATCAAGCATTTCTGTTAGTAGTAGCTGCCGAGCCGTTGCATTGACTTCCTCCTTTTTCGCAGCCATAAATGCCAGCCTACACTTTTGCAGATGTCCAATTGCATCATCGACCCTGCCTTTTTCCGCCATAGTCTCTATTCGAGTTGGCAACTGCATAATATCTTTCCGCGGCGGCAGCGGCTCTCGGGCAGTACATGTCCATCCAACTGCCTCCCTGGAGACCCTTCGTTTTTGGCTCAAAATTCGTGCCACCCGCAGAAGGGTAGCACTATATCGGAGCTGGCACTAACAAATATGGCACTATATCGCGACCCCCCCTGTACAAGGGTACTATATATAGTATATACTGTACAGTACTGTACACTGTAATATGGGAACCCGCCTTGCCCTTCCTCTTCACTGCACTCCCTCTCATCCCTCTTATCCTGATCTGACGGCCCTTTGAGGCATCCCCCTGTAAACTGGACTTTGCCCCCCCTTGACCCGCCAAAACCTTCACTCTACTTTTTACAGCTGCTGAGACACGGGGGCAACGCCAACGTTAGGTCATGCCTCATCACTCACCATGTGACGTGCTTCACCTGAGACGGGCGACTCCCTGCCACCTGCCACGCCCAGGCGTCGCGCCGCCCCGCACGCCATGTCCACCCCACCGGGCACGGCTTCGGACCCCATCTTCACCGACGCCCCGCCGCTCAGCGCTGGCGTCGCCTTCGTCATCGGCGTGGCCGGCGCCGCCCTAGTGCTTGCGCAAACCGTGCTGCGCGCGTGGCGCCGCGTGTCGCTCTCGCAAACCCGCGGCCTGCTTCTCGCGCGCGTGCACCTGCTAGTGCTCGTGCTCGCCGCCGTCGCCGCCGCCTCGCTGCTCGGCTCGCAGCGCTTCTTCGCGGATGACTCGCGCCCGCTCGGCGGCCTGCTCCCGCTCCTCGGCGTCCTCGCCCCCTTCGTCTTTCTCGCCCGCCGCCCCGACGCGACCACTTCCTCCGTCACCCGCCCGACCCGCACCAGGCTTCTCGACTGGCTCATCCAGTCCCCAGTCAATCTCCTGCTGCTGCTCCCGGGCCTCGCCTTGTCGGGGCTGTGCGTGTGGGGCATGGTCGTCGCCGAAGCCTGGGATGTGCTTGCGCTCGCCTTCTCAGCCTCGGTCGCGGTTCTCACTCGCGCCGACCCCGTTGTGTATCGCGCGTGGGATGGAGTTGGCGCCCGGTGGCAGTGGGGTCGTGTCCTGCCCAGTCCGGTGCGAAACGCCGCTTGGCGCTTCGTCATAGGCCGCGTTGAGGAGCCTGGCGGCGTCGTCGGTGTTGAAGTCGATGCTATGGAGGTACCTGCTGCCGACACCGTCTTGCTTCAGGGAGCCCTATTCGGAGAAAGCGTCCACCTGTCCGACCGCGCTCTGGCAAAGTCGATGGCGACCCGCGGTGTGCTGGGCACTCTCCCGCTTTTCTACGAGTACGTGGATCAAGTATGGAGTCATATCATACCTGACACATCACGAGGTGGCGTCAAGGAAGGGGAGAAGATTGACGAGACGGCAGCGAGCTGTTTCCTTCTCATCGCTTCTCTTCTCCGGGAAGCGCTTGACGATAACGCCCGCCTTGGCGCCGATGTTTGGTTGTTGCTGGCCATTTTTCGACATCGCATCAATGAGATTGCGGTTAACTACGTAAGTGCATCTAATCTGCGTCTTGCCCCGCTGCACTCTCGGATTGCCATGTCAGTGAGGGAGTTGTGGTCTGCTTTCGCCGGTCGTTCCCGTGAGTTACAGTCGCTGCCTGACGATTCTACTGCAGAACAGGATATGATGGGGCCCGAGACAGATGGCTCTGTAGTTGTGGAGGTTGACACGAGCAAGGAGGCCAATGAAGAAGGTGACAATGCTACTGGGACAGCCAGGGAAGAAGGTGAAGAGAATGGGGATGAGAAGGAGACTGGAGATGAAGTTGAAGAACAAGACGGAGATGACCTGTTGCCGACAAATATCGCGGATGGGGCGCTCACCGGGGGCCGAAAGCTTGCAATGTGGCACGCGCTTGACGCAACAGAAAACCCGCCCGAGGTGGTCGATACGGAAATTTGGGCTTCATGGATCATCACGTGCTTGCAAGACCTCTATGACGCGACGTTGAAGACACTAGAAGCTTCACCAAGCGAAGTGAATCGGGAGCAAGCCACACACATGCCTGCCACATTTAAGCTATGGCTCGGGGAACCACTCGTCTTGGCGTTAGAAGGTGAGCTGGTAGAGGGGATGAGCAGTGCTGCGCTTCAGGCAACGGATAGTCTATCCCAACCACTGCCTCGGCGTGAAAGAAAAGGGGAGAGTGAGAAGGGGAAAAAGGAATCTATTCTCGACGAAGCGACAGAAGTCGTCGCTGAAGAGGAGACCTTCACTTACATAATGCTAGCACTAGCCGGGGTAGAGGTTTCGGAAACTGCACATTTCGGGGAGGGCGTGGATGGGACGGGATTCATAGGCATTGGAGGGGACGTATCTCAGGGAGAGCTCAACGGGAGGTTGAAAGCACAGAATATGGCTTACAAAATTATGATGGCACAGAACGCGTTGTGGGGTTACGTGGCGTTGGGACAGACAGCGTCAGCCTTGTTGGCGCGGAGCTAGTTGCCAGAGTATCGTCGATGGGACCAGGCAACGTCCATGTTGTCTCGGGTGATGGAGGTGTGGAGTGCGGAGACATGTCGAGGTAATTCATTGAACTGGTGAAAAATCACCCTCACCAGACTATTTCGAAGAAGTAGAACTTCCTGGATGAGAACACAACACCTCGTCTATTCGATGGGGAACACCGAAGGTGCATGCCACTCCTTTCGAACGTAGCGAGTGTGACTTTCCCAGCTTTGCTGTCATACACGACAGATGCACCCTCCAAAGATATGCTGAGTTGCTGGGACTTCGGGTCCTCGTCTTGTGTGCGTACACCAAGGCTAACCTCCTGTGCTATTCCTTTCCACCCATCAACATCACAGACACGTCTCTCTTGCCCCGCCTCCACCACAATTTTCGCCCCTTCCGCAGACCATATCAGCTGCGTTACCGCTCTCCCATCCCCGCCCACTTCTCCGATCTTCGCTCGTGTCTCTACGTCCCAGACACTCACTGTCCCGTTCTTCACCCCAGAGGCCAAATGCTTGCTATTCCTCGACCACGCCAAGCAGCAAATCTCGCTCCGATGCATGCCCCACGCCTCCCCAACAGCCTCTCCACTCTCCACATCCCATATCCTAATCATCCGATCTCTCCCGCCCGATGCGAGGAATCTCCCGTTAGAGGACCATTCCGCACACGATACCTTGGGAGTGCGGCTGCCTGTCAGTATTCCACTGTCTTCTGTACTCTGAGTGTCCCATATCCGCACCGTCTCATCCCATGCTCCAGACACCACTCGCTCTCCATCCGGTGTCCACCCCACGGATGAAACTGTGTCCCTGTGGCCTAGCAGTGCCGAGCCCAGCGCCTTTCCCGTCTCCACATCCCATATTCTCACCGACTTGTCCCAGCCACCAGATGCTAATCGCTTCCCATTGGGTGACCATGCCAGACAGAAGACCGCACTGGAATGCCCACGAAAAGTTGCTCCTATCGCCTCACCGGTCGCACTGTCCCAAACTGTGATCATTTTGTCCCGTCCACCCCCCGCAATGCGCCTTCCGTCCGGAGACCACGCCACACAAAGAATTGTGCCGCTGCTTTGACCTTGCTGCCCTACTATCTCTCCGGTCTCGACGTTCCAAATCTGCATCATCTGATGTCGCCCGCCAAGGGCCAGCCGCTTTCCGTCCGGCGACCAATCCAAACAGAAGACTCGTACGTGTTGTTCAAGTAATAGCTGTCCCTGCATTTCTCCGGTATGTCGATCCCATACCTTCACACTCATTTCAGGCCCGCTACTTGCTATTCTCCTCCAATCCGGCGACAACGCAAAGCGATGCTCTTCGCCAGCGCTCAGCGTCAGGGGATCTACAAGATGCCCTCTTGGATCCATAGCCCAGGCCCGGACCGTCCCATCCTTGTGAACAGTTACAGCGTCTTTGCCGTTTCCTGAACAGCGTATCAAGGAAACTTCCTTGCCATCATCATGAGGGCTCCAGGCATTTGCAGATTGCCATCCCGAAGGACCTTGTCCCTTGATACCGGTGGTACTTGCAATCACATGGTCGTCGTCACTCTGCAGTAATACCCTTGATTCCAGTTCACCCCTCAAAAACGTACATACAAATGCCCCTTCAGTGCAAATACCCCAGGCCACTACTTTTTCCCCTCCCGTCCCAACACTCGTCCCGCAAACTCGGCCACCGCATGGTAATAAACTATGCAAAAACCGCGGGCTACTGAGACATGGCGTTAGTGCCTTCACCCACGGCTTCTTCGCATGTCGTTCGATATCCGCTGTATACTCTTGCAAAAGAGTCGATTCATTTCTAATACTAAGCAACCGTGCATAGAGCTGAAACCACACCTCATCCGCATGGCGCGACACATACGGCGCACTTAGTCGTGCGGTTCGGACAATTATCTGCAGAGACCATATCTTGTGTCCTTGCCTAGAGCTGTCATCACCTTTCGCTTTGATCCCCTCCAACAGCAGATTGAAATCCTCTTCAAGTCCCAGAGTCTCTGACTGAGCTAGCCTCCTTACAGTCCATCTTGGATCTCTGAGCAGCATCTCCAATTGAGTTGTCAAGCCGGCTCCGATCAAGTGCCGACTCACGTTCTGCCTTGCGTAATCATGTGCAAACGCATCGTACGTTGCCCACGCAGAATATTCGCGCAAACTGCCACATCTATCCGATCCTACCTCTGGTATCCAACCCTGCACAATCGCTTCATGCAACTTGCACACTTCGCTATGACTCTTGCATTCCGTCTCCGCAAAATCCAACTGCAGATCATGCAATGCAAGTCCAGTAACGTTCCCCCCGTTCAAAATCTCGTCCTTTCTCTCGGCTAGGCTCACCATGGCAAACAAGTTTACAACTTCCGTGGCCTGGATCTCATCAAGGCCCCATAGCACGGCAAGGACTGTTGTTGGCAACCACCCATGACGTTCAATAACAGCAAGACATCCATACATCTCCGCAAATGACATGCCGTTCTTCAACTCAAGACTGTTTTTTTCATCCAGCATTGCAAGCGATGCCGTGAACGCGGTTGACAAATTGCTATACCCATCGCCATCCACGGTCTCACTCAGAAGCCGTCCGCGATACTTTACCAGCACGTCCAAGTACTCCTCGCAGACTGCCTGCAGACTTCGATTGAAAGCCACTCGACGACGCATTGCAATCGCACTGCCGGCGACCGATAACGCCATCGGCAGCCCGCCACACAGTGCCAACAACCGCACTACCGATCCCTGCAGCGCCTTGGTCTCTTCCTCTCTCAAGCCTGCGGCCGAAAACAAAATATCTCTGGACAAACTATCATCCCGCGTCGAAAACTCGATGGATTCTTCCTTGCCGACCATTGCCAAATCGCGCGACGTAAATGCGACGCAACTACCCGTCGCGGCATCAGTCACCTTTCCCAACCGTCGCACGACGTCACGGCCAACACAATTCGACGCCCAGACGTCATCCACGAGCAACAGAATCCTCCTTCCCGCAAACCAGAGCCTCGCGCTGAACACAGCCCCGTCAAGGCGGGTCTTCTCCAGCACTTGCTTCTCGGCTTGCACGCCGCCAGACTGCCTGGTGAGAGCGGCGAGCTGTCGAACGAGATCGGCGTCGTTGCAATCCTCCCCCAAGCCGAGCCAGTACACACCGTCAGAGAAGCGGGCGCGCACGTCGCGGTCCGTCGCGAGCCCGCGAAGGGCGCAAGACTTTCCCACCCCGCTCATGCCCTGCATGCCGACGATACGAGGGTGACTTGACGTGGTTCCCTCAATACTCGCCGGCGGGCGCAAGATGGCGAGCTTCAGGCGGCACTCGAGGGAGATGTCGTGACGGTGGCCTTCTCCTGGTGCAAATGCGACTGGGCCAAAATTTAAAACGACATGCGGTGGGTTGGTGGGGACGTCAAAGGAAGGGGTGAAGAGGTCGGGTTGATGCTGGGGATCGGAGGATGTGAGGTTCTCGACGGCGGAGCCGAGCCTGGCGACACCCTCGGCGCGGACGAAGAGGGCGTTCATAGAGGACAATCGGAGGTCTAAAGCGGTGGCAGTGGCGTTGATTTCTGCAAGCCATTCGCTGACGGTCTTGGCGCGGCTAAAGCGAAAGCGCGTTCTCCTGAGGCTGTCCTCCATGGACTCCAACTGGGCGTGTATCGCGTGCATGTCGGTCTCGAACGAGGCGAGCTGAAGACGAACGTCGGCTAGCACGGGCTCGGATAGGGTCATGGTGTTGTCGTGGCAGGCGCGGTGAAAGTGAGAGATGCGGGTGAGCAGGGTGTTGAAGCGGTCAGCGAGGGCGCGGGTGAGACCCGGGTTGCGCGATGCTTTCGCAAGGCGGGCCTCTAGGGAGTGGTAAGTGCGCAGCGCGGCGTCGACAAGGGAGATGGCGTCGCCGATGGACAGCATGGTACGGTTTGGGCGGTGGGGAGCATGGAATCGGTCGAGCAATGGGTGACGATGGAACGAGTGACGAGTGTGCGGGTGGTACCACGGTAAGAGATGACTATGCGATTGAATTTGCCCCCGCGACGTCAACTTTTTTAAGAAACTGTAAGAAATGATTGGAAGACATGCGACTTCTTTATACAGTGCCGTTAAGGGTACAGTACTTTAGTCTACTGTATGATACAGTACTTCGTTACACGTGTGCTATGATTGTTAAGTACAGTATTCCTGTTACCCCTGTACAAGTATACCTTGGATTCCGCTCCGACCTCTACACGTACTTTGCAAGTGTCCTCTTTTGCACCTGCCACGCCCGCTTCTTCCACGCCCGCTTCTTCCACGCCCGCTTCTTCCACGCCCGCTTCTTCTCCCGTACCGGAAGTGCCTGCGTCGCTGATTTCACCCCCCACCACATGCTTCCGCGCCGTCCTGCAGCAGGAGGCCCAGATGCACCATCGCATCCACGTCATCACCCTCCTCGATCGCCCGCTCGTACAGCTTAACAGCGCGAACCGCATTCATCTCGACTTCCTCCATGCCCTCGTGCAGGAGACCGAGATTGACCTTCGAATCGACATCATTACCCTTCTCGATCGCCCGCTCGAACTTTTCTATGCCGCGCGCCGCGTTTCTCTCGATTCCCTCCGCATCATATGCTAGCAGGTTGCCGAGATCGAGCATAGAGTTGACATGACCGTGTTCCTCAATCGCCCGCTCGTATAGTTTGATAGCCCGCGCTTCATCCTTCTTAACTACGTCGCTCCCATTCCTCATGAGGTTACCAAGGTTGTACATCGCATTAGCATACTGGTCTACTTCGATCGCACGTTCGTAGAACTCTACTGCGCGAGCAGCCCCGTTCTTCTCGACTACCTCCGCACCCTTCTCCAACAGCAAACCGAGAGCGACTATTGCGCTGACGTCATTTTTGTCGATCGCGTTTTCGTACACCTCTACAGCACGAACTGCATTCGTATCGACACCCTCCGCGCCCTTTTCCAGTAGCTTGCCGAGACATGACGACAACAAGCGTCCAGATGCAAATTTGAATCCTTTCCTACCTTCCTCGCCGTGCTCCCAGTAACATTCACATGCTCCGAGTACTGTACAATAACTGATGATGTCACTCTGCGTTCTCCTCCGGCGGCAGGGAGTAGACGACCACACCTGGACTGACCTCAGTTTTGACCGCATACTCATGAAAACTGTCCTCCGAATCCTCCGTCTCAGCCCACTCTAAATATTTCATTGAATGCTCGTAGGACACCTCGAACCCGTGATTCCTCAATACACCTTGCATGACGAGGCCAACAGCGCCTTCCTCGTCCTCGCCCCACTTGGCCCGTCCCCACTCAGCGTCCGACTCATCAGGCCCGCGAAACCGGCTCAGTCCAAAGTCAATCATAAACACCTTACAATAGGGATGGCGGCGGCCGTCTGGATCGGTACAAACCAGAAAGTTCCTGGTCCTCACGTCAGTATTTAGTATGTTGTGATCGTCCATGATGCCGACAATCGCAATGGCTTGATTAACAATGTCCTGCCAACTCGACCGCGGAAAGTGATCGACTATGTCCCGTAGGCTGCAGCCGTCTATGTACTCGAGCAGGATGCCTTTCACTCGGAAAGGCTCAAAGTCCCCGCGGCGACAGCGACTTGGGGTAGCGCTCGACGATGCAAGCTCCAGATCGAGATCGGCCGCCGCAATAACTTTATACAATAACTTTCGGGATGACATCACCCTGCTGATCGCGCAGCCCGTCATACAGGGCAATCTCGGCGTTGTACTGGCCGAGAAGCTTATGGGCCAGAAAAGCCTCGTTCTGAGCGTCATCCCGGTCTTTTTGTCTGCTTTCTTCGAAAAGGTCGATGCGGGTGAGATCGTGCAGGTAACTGTAGATTGCACCGCTCTTGACTGAATCGATGTACGCCTCTTCCATGCGCTTCGTCCATGGCTCGATGCCGTTGTTACGCCGGAGGCCATCAGAAAAACGTCGGTCGAAAAGCTTTAGGAAAGCGATGCCGCTCGCTGCTGACGGCCGTTCGTCATCCAAAATATCGACGATCATGGTGCAGGATAACGTTCGCGTATGGAACTGGCGAATACACACGTGCATGACCGAAGCAGATGCATGGCCATGGTCGGGTAGGACGTTGAGCGTCAAGATTTGGAAGGCAACGTAGTCATCAAAGGGGGAGCATCGAGACAGGGATGACGGACCCATTGCAAACGGGGCAGCTCGACGCGTGCGGAATGAAATACGGGGGGTGATGTCCTTGTGGGAGAACGGACAAAACGTAGTTTACATGCGTAGTAATGTACCCTTGGGAACTGTAGCCGCGCTCGTCGTTCGCAGCGGTGGGGGAAAGGAGCCGCGGGAACGGAGAGGGCGGGGATATCACTTCTACTTTGTGAAGACGTGTCGGGAGTTGACGCAGGCACTCTGGGAGGGTAGCAGGATACCCACGAGGGCTCGTCCGGATACCACCGTCGGACATTACTGTAATACCCTTCCCCAAAAGGGTAATTTGGAGTAAACTTTGAAATACTGTATGGCAAAAACAAACAGATTTATTAGTAGGATATCAAAACACTCGGCCCCATGACATACAAAACTGGGTCAAAAGTTCGTTGGTAGCTTCAGATTGGTCAGAAAACGGATATTATTTGAGATATTCACATTTGTCTATTCATCACAAGTGGCCTCCTTTTGAGGAAGGAGAGGGCAATTTGGAGTGTCTATGTCATGCGCATGAAGCGTGATCAGCGCCTCCACGACATCGTTCTCTTCCATGGAACGTTCTCCCAAAGATGCCACTACGGTCTCCGGTGCTGATCTGCATCGCTTGGACCGGTCAGAACACTCAAGACCTTAGGGGAAAGCAGCTTGTGCATTGGAAATCGCCAATTTTCGTATCTTTTTCATCCTTTTGGCTTCTTCTTTTTGAAGCCTCATATGTTCTCTTTGCGCCTTTTTATGCTTCTTAAGCTCCTCTTTTGCCTCTTTGGCAGCAGCAGCAGCAACTTGGCGTTCTTGGGCTCCCCATGTGTCAAATATAGAGCGGGGGTTCCATGTTGCAGCACTGGGCGTGATTCAGCCTGTTTTCCTTTCCCGTTCACAACTGTGCGGTTCAACATACTATATTAAAATCAACGCTCTCCAAATTACCCTTTTTCTCCAAATTACCCTTTTTCTCCAAATTACCCTTTTGGGGAAGGGTACATAAGAGTCTATATCGCCGGATTTTTAGTCGGCGTGTCGGCTCGGACAGGTTCCCAGTTTCTCCCAAATAAAATTAAATTCTATCTTCGCACACTCACAGCCCAGAATTCTCTGACGAGCAAATTAACTTAACTTAATTGATTGGGGGGTCAATTGAAGCCCAGAAGGAACACGTGTGGCGGACACGTGTTACGATGCCATAAGTATTGAACTTGACGAGTTTTGGAGGATTGGGCGAGGAGGACAAAGGCTCATCTTGGAGAACGTGACCTCTGCAGGCACAATTTTGTCCATGGGGATCGCGCCCGCGTCTCTGCTTCAACCCCCCACCACATGCTTCCCGAGCCGTGAACGCACTTGATGTTGGGGACGAATTCACCCATGGAGTCGTCTCACGGCCCCGGTCCTGCCACCCAGCCCGGCCCTTTGCAGCGCTTCCAGGTTGCGCCGAGCCACTGCGTTGTTCCCGTCTTTCTCAATCGCCATGGTGTACAGCCGTGCCGCCTGCCCTATGTTACGGCCCACCCCATCCGCTCCGTGCTGCATCAGCGTGCCAAGATGCACCATCGCGTCAACGTTACCGTCTTCCTCAATCGCACCCTCAAGCAGCTTTACAGCCCGCGCAGCGTTCCCTGCAACCCCGTCTCCTCCATGCCTCAGGAGGAGAGCCCGATTCACCTTAGCGTTTCCGCTGCGTGATTTCTCGATCGCACGCTCGTACAGCTCCACGGCGCGGACCTCGTCCATTTCCACTCCTTCCGCGCCGTGGTGCAGCAGCAGACCGAGATTCCCCAATGCATGCACATTGTCCCTCCTGTCGATCGCAAGCTCGTACAGCACTGGGGCGCGAACCCCGTTCTTCTCGACCCCCTCCGCGCCGTCCCGCAGCAGGAGGCCCAGATGCACCATCGCATCAATGTCATCGCCCTCCGCGATCGCCCGTTCGTACAGCTTAACAGCGCGAACTGCGTTCGTCTCGACTCCGTCTGCGCCCTTGTGAAGGAGGAGACCGAGATTGACCATCGAATCGACATCATTACCCTTCTCGATCGCTCGCTCGAACATTTCTATGCCGCGGGCCGCGTTTCTCTCGATTCCCTCCACATCATGTGCTAGCAGGGTGCCGAGATTGAACATAGAATGGACATGATCTTGTTCCTCAATCGCCCTCTCGTATAGTTTGACAGCCCGCGCTTCATCCTTCTCAACTCCGTCGCTCCCATCCCTCATTAGGTTCCCAAGCTTGTACATCGCGTCAACGCTCTGGTCTACTTCGATCGCACGTTCGTACAACTCCACTGCGCGAGCCGCGAAGTCCGCGACAATGGCGGACAGTTCGAGGCCAACGGCCGCGTTCGGGTCGGCGGTGGCCAGGCGATCGCATGCATTTAATTGGTACAGTACCTTATCAGAATGGCGACAGAAGTAAAAAGTAAAAAGATCATTCGGCTATACAGAGAGGACTCGCGCAATAATGCCGAATTGAGTAATTCCACAAGTGAGTAATGCAGGGGTTTCTCGGTAAACACAGATTATCATACCTTGCATTGCTGTTAGACAGCTGTCCAAGACAGGGATCAAGTCGACGCAGCCGACGATGCTCAACAGTAAACGGATCAACATAGCCTAACTTTACATACTGCACAGATCCTTTCCGTCTTACTCGAGTGAAACGCAAGGGCACCAAAACAACCACGAGGTGCAGTTCGTCATTTGCGCTGTGCAAAACGCGCGTTGCTGACTGCATAAGCTGAGCAGAGTCCTTCCAAGAGGCGCCAGACGCTTGCTTGTAAATGAGTATTTTGTGTGACCCATTCATTAGTGCAAGATGCGAGTATTGCATGTTGTTGGAACCTTACATGGGGGTGCACTACTCGATGATGTTGACTGCATCTGAA